AAATTCTCCTAAATCACTCGTACGCACAACTTAAGAACAAATCTGTGTACGAACGGTTCTTACATGAGGCCCATTATTTCTGCCATAACCAATCACTGAACCAACCGTTGCTATTTTTGCTCATGACTTTCTTAATGTTCAAGATATTGTCATGTAATTTTCAGAAATGATTCACCTTCTACTTTTTTTCCCGGAAGCATCTTGTATCCTAAAAACAAAAATGCATAATAAAATCAAGTAAAAGTAGCAGAAAAGGTATAAACTCTTGTTTAAAAAGACTCACGTCACTAAACTGCAACATCTAATCGACTCGACGTGTCTTGGAAAGCCAGGAAATGAGGACCATTAAAACAAACATATGGACATTTGATTTGTAAACAAAGCAAGAGGTTGGAAACACTAAAAAAATGTAACCGAAAACAAATTTAAGCACTATTAAAAAAACCTGATTTGACAAGTTCAGGCATGTATTAAAYCAATGAATTTGTTTCTGATGTTTAGTCGGTAACACTTTCCTCTCCTCCTCGGTCTCCCTGCAGGCACGTCGGCCTGTCCTCGTGGCCGGTTCTACTGCACCAACCTGGGTTTCCGCCCGCACTACATCCCCTCATCACGAGTTAACGATGGCATCTGTGGTGAGGCTGCATTTTTACATCCTGGGAGGCTTAAATTCACCGCTACGAAAAGACTTAAATATTTTAAATGAGGTTCTGTGAGAAGATTGTAAACCATTAATATCTTACCTGTAGTAGATGACTCTTTGACAACCAGTGAATTGGAGAAATCAYGTTTTAATGTTAACGAAACTTTTCAATAATCCCTGGGTGCGCCTCTACAACTAATCCACTTTTGGAGCTAACTCAATCCAAGATGGCCGCCATGGGCAACTGACCTCAAAACATAAATTACTGTAATGCAGTGTTTAGATATTGAGCTAAAGTAAGTTATTTTTATCTGTTTTGTGGCTGAAACATGAATCTAAAACATAATTTTTGGATCGTGTAACATTTTTTTCTAAGATTTTTTCTGTACATTTTAATTTTTATTCATCTGTGTCTGTTAGCATAAAATCTCATGAATCTCTTGACAGATTAAAACTCAGCTTTAAGAAAGTAATAATTAGATATACATCTTTAAYAAATCACATTTAAGAGTCTGTCTAATTCAAGATGACTGCCGATTCAGCTGCACAGATATGGAGTTTATTGTTGGATCTAAATCACAGGGCTGATAGTATTCCGGCACCGTGCTAGATTTCCGGCTTACCTCCACAGGGAGAAAAAGAAAAATATCAGACTTACCGGGCCAACTGTTAAACAGACATTTCTCTGGACCTATCAGAGGAGCAGCTTTCACTTTAAACACACTAGACAGGCCTACTAGCCAATCAGAAATCAGATGGGGGTGGGACTTGGATATCAGCAGAACTTTGATTCAGATCTAGGAGAAGTTGTAGCGTTGCTCGAATTAAAATAAATTTCTTTGTTAGAACAAGTTTGAAAAAGAACTGGAAACAACATTGAAGCTGGCAGCTTTTTAAAAACCAGCTGTCAGAGAAGAAAAACCAGCGGAAAGATGTGGAGAGAGACATGCCTCGCAGATGGATGCTAACGTTAGCCGAGCAGTAGCAGGCAGGTGGAGCCGGGGAACAGAGGCAGGRATTTAATCACACTGACCCGGGAAACAACATCTGACCAACAGGTGTGTGTTTACTGAGAGTAACTGAGTCAGGTGTTGTGCTAAAAGTTGATTGTCCGCCGCTGTGTGGGAGTGCACAGCCTGTCTTGGTTATAATTGACTGTTTATGTTTCTTTAGTTGGAATTTATCAATATGAACTAGAGATGTGTTGAGTAATGTTTTATTAGATTAAAAATGTTCTAATCGATTAATTGATAACATGTGCTGAGGCATCACATTGTCAACTTAGACAGCTCTAACCTGTCAGATCCTTCTCCGAGACTGAGCTAAAAGTAGAGACTTGAAACTTTAAACCAGTTTTWAAATTGTGTTGTTAGGCCAAGTAGAACCGAAGTTATGTCAAGAAGTGTACCCCAGACTTTATTTAAATATAAAAGAGTTCTTGTTTGATGCGTGCCACGTCGCGAGCACGAAACGCGTCTTGTGGAAATAAAAGCCTCAATCCACCRTCAGCTTCATCTTTCTTTAGTGCCAAAAAATAAAAACCCTCCGATCTTTTATCTGACCAAAGCCCAAAGTTATTTTTCCAGCAGCAAAAGATGTACAAAACAAAGGAGGGAAAAAAAAAAATGCGAGCAGCTCTCAGTGAGTAACCGTGCTTATTGGGCCGACCAAACCAAGCATCAGTGCTGAGCTCTGTAGAACAGAGAAGGATGTTTGTTTCAGCCACAGACAAAACCTGGTCCAGGTAGACCCACTTAACCTCTCAGAGTTAATAAAAGTAA